TAATAAAGAAAAATAGATAGATAGATAGATAGATAGATAGATAGATAGATAGTTGATAATCAGACGCACGCGTGTCCATGTATATCAATTCTTGTTTTTTATTACTGGATGCAATTAACATTTTCAAGCAAGATAGGATGCAATGATTTAATTACAAAACAAATTTAAAAAAAAAAAACACCAAAGAAAGGAAGATTCACAATTTTTAACTGATGTTCACAGTTGCAGAAAGTTTAATGCGAAATCAATATTTCCGCCCGCCAACACGACTAGTACCGACAAAGTAATGAGATTGATTCCACTGAATTATGGATTGACCAAACGCATGTATCACAACAGCAAATAAACAAAAATAGAAACCAAGAAAAATTCAACAATATCCGACATCAAACTGTGAAATCTTTGGAACAGGCTTGCGTTTTCGTGATACTATCCGCCGCCACCACAAAAGAAAAAAGAAATCAAAAATCCCATCAAAACTCACAAATATTAAATGAAATTTCAATTTGAATGATGCAAGAGGCGGGAAAACGCCGGCCATATTGAAAAAAAATTTGAACATCAACGATATGAAAAAAATGAAAATGGTGACGAAATTTCTCTTGAAGTTTAACCTAACAATGCAATTAAACTTTTTGTTAATGCCCATTTATTTTTTATTACTGCTTAGAAATTACAGGCTATCTTTTATAAGATTAAAATATCGTTAATGCAGTATGGCCGTCCGCAGGTTGATTAATATTATGTTACTGAAATCTGTATTGAAATATGATTTTGCAGACAAGTCTCATTGTTTTCTGGAATTCTGACTGGAAATATTTTCGTACAAATGTTTCAGACGAAACTGATGTGGCTTTTTACAATAGGTTTTTATTTAATCCATTCTACAATCTCACTTGGGCATAGATTGTATACGGTAGATTTTATAAACGGTTTAATATATTGCTTTTGATTTTCTTTTTCTTGTCAAGCAAAACATCAAAAACTGACAGTAGTGATTTCATTTTAATGAACCTGAAGCAAACTCGATAGGAAGAATAATGTCTCTTCTTCTCAAGGGGTCAGTATAAGGCCATTAGAAATATTTTGGCTCTATCATTAAGAAATCCTTAATATCTCCCATAAGAACATTAAAAAAAGTTAGTTTCTCAACCGAGTATTATAAGCTGAAGACATATCATTCCATCATTATTATCAGAAGAAAGTCTTGGAATGAATTATAAATTATCAGAATATTTTCTAAACTAAAAAAAGATATTTTCTAAACCAAATGAAGCTTATCTACTTTGCGATATATAAATTGTTTGTAAGGCTGACAAATAATTTTTTTTCTAAATGAAATCTTTTATCGATTAATAATTAACTGTGTATTGAAAAGTAAATATCTACAGCTGTGAGCAGAGCAAATGATTCACTTAATTAAAAAAAAAAGTCGATTTGTTTCATTTTTACTAAGAATTATTTTTATTCGCCACTGTCACTTTAGGAGTTGATTCTTTGATCATTCAAGATTCCAATTCAAGTTGACGCATTCATATGGACTCATTACAAAGAGATAGAGAGAAATGCGGAGATAGCGATACTGAAAATAAAGCTGGCAAAGATTATGAGACATTAAAATAAATATAAAGTAAACAAAATGAAATGCTTTTATTAACGGAAGAAAAAATACATTGTACAAAATAAATTTCGTTATATATTTAAGAACATTACAAGGTGTAATCAGTATTTAGTATAGCGCCAATTTGCAAGGAATACAGCCCCAAATCGACCTGAGAATACAGCTTACAAATATCCAGTCATTGCTCTTGACAGTAAACCCAACATTCTTGGATATCTGTTGTATACCAAATTGTTAAACTCTTTGCATATAGGTTCGGTTATAGTAATGTCAAGGCATTGTTTAGTCCATTTTTTTTTAACACTGTAATGTTTTCATCAGTGAGAAATTTCTTTGTTACATGTGCTGTATGAGAAAGTTATATTAGATTATCTGAAATTCTGCTATATCTAGTATAGGCTAGATTTTAGCAAAGAGTTATTATGTCGTTCTTAACCATTTGAATGGACTATGCATTCATGTGCGTGTTTGCCATCGTACTGTGTTCATGGGAATATAAAAGATTACATTACAATCCCGTATGACCTGAGATGTCAATCTGGAATATACACTGTAGAATATATAGAACTTCTTAGCAACAGTTTAACAACTTTTCTTTTCACAAAGGTGGTATCACATTTTGTTTGCTCGCCATTTTATATAAAAATATTTTGGTCTGAATTCCATCTGTAGATGCTTGAAAGTTGTCAATAGGACAATTACTTAGAACATATCGAATGCATATAACTTTAACTGTCAAATCTGTTTAAGAACCGTTTAAAAGGGATATAGTTGTGGTTGGAAAAAACAATTTGCGTAATGGGCCTACGAATTTTTTCAAAATGTTATGTATACATGCATACATTATGTATACATATACATACATACATACATACATACATATATATATATATATATATATATATATATATATATATATATATATATATATGTGTGTGTGTGTGTGTGTGTGTGTGTGTGTGTGTGTGTGTGTGTAGAGGAATATGCGTGCATAAACGAAGAAAATCTTCAAAACTGTTCTGCAAATTTAAATAAATTTTTATTATTGGGTATTAGTTTTCTTTCAAATTGAAAGAAATAAATTGCAAATATTCTTTGCGAAACAACTTCACCCAAAGTATTTTTGATTATCTTTCTTTACAATAGAACCGAGTCTACTGCGTTATATAAAAGAATATGAGAATGTGCATCACGTTTACGTATTTATATGTATGCATGTAATTTCCTAGCAGCTGACAGGCGATTGGCAGTGAGCTATGTTAATACAATGGCTTAGGTTTGTAAACAATGTGAATTTTTTTTGTGTGTTACTTTATTCAATATAACTAAGCCTTTTATTACAATATAATGTAATCGATTAATATGCGAAAATGTGATTAATTATTTCAGGTTTGTGGATTTCAGCTAGTCTAACAACAAACGACCCTGGTCAAAGGTTAACTGGAAAACTAATTTCTGCGAACTAAAACGATCGTTTACATAAACAAACAGGATATCGACTCCAGCAAGAGTAAAGGTTAGATATTATTAAATTCGGAGTTTATTGATTAAAAAATATTTTCCCAATTTTTAAATATGTTTTAAGCGGAAATATTGTTTATCATTTTCGTCTCAGATGATAAGCTTCCTTGTTTGACAATTCACAGATTAGAGCGCTATGACGTTGCTGATTGGTTAATATATACGAATATAGAAATTCAAAAATTAGTCAACTTTTGTGTGAGCTGGTTTATGTACAAAATAAGTTTCCAATGACCTTAATTAAATCTATAGTATTTTCTACAATTCTTTACCGGGGTTTCAAACACACACACACACACACACACACACACACACACACACACACACACACACACATATATATATATATATATATATATATATATAGATAGATAGATAGATAGATAGAGAGAGAGATAGCACGATTCTGAGTTTCAGGAACTACGCAATCTTCAGGTGGCTGTTACATAATTTAAAATTATATCTGATTATCGTAATATTAGCGTAGATATATATTATATTGGGATTTTTAATTTTAAAAATTATATTTGGCATTTAAAATTTTAAAGATTTGTGTATATATATATATTATGAAATGGACAAAATCCGACAATTATTTCAAGACATTTTTTATGTTTATACGTTCTTTTTATAGATACAAATATTTAAGTAAATGCTCTGTTTTATAATAAACAGTATAAACCACAATTACTGGCCTGAATGTCCGAGAAATTGTCATAGGAAATATGCGTCTTCCGACAGGAATCGAACCTGTATCCTATACAGAACCGTCATAAAGCCTGACGTGCTTTTACCGATTGAGCCACAGACCTTGCTAACCGATACGCTCCTCTGTAGTTCAATCGGTAAAAGCACCTCGGGCTATATGACGGTTCTGTATAGGTTACAGGTTCGATTCCTGTCGGAGGACGCATATTTTATATGAAAATTTCTCGGACATTGTTTATTATAAACAGAGTATTTACTTAAATAATTGTATCTATAGAAAGAACGTCTAAAATATATATATATATATATATATATATATATATATATATATATATATATATATATATATATATATTAGTAAGCGACAACACTATGTGTACTTGATTTTAGGCAGTTAATCTAAAACTACTTAGACTGAGAATGTGATAGTATGGCAAACCTGACCATTACCCCCCACCCCCGTTCGAATTCTTCCCATTGAACAATGATACACTTTGGAAAGGGATGTTTTCAATTTTTCCTGCTGTCTGTCCAATCATGAAATGTATAAACAAATAAGTAATTACTAAACATTATTAATATTTAAAGAGATGTCTGTAATCATACGTTTAAATCATTCTCTTTTATCTCCGTTAGCAGGCCAAGTGCTAAAAAAAAAAAACATTAGAAATATAAGTAGCCTCATCATCATGCTTGGAAGATTCCAATGAATAATCAGGTGGACAGAAAAATACGATTTTAAGTTATTTATATGTCGATTTCTTAAAAAGTTATTGATTTACATTTTATTTTATTGAAACAAAGGTGAAACCACCAGACGAATCAAAGATTATATTTCTTCTTTCTGAAGATTGAATAATCTTCGGCTAGAGCTGATCCAGTGAAAATTCTACTGGAAGAAATAATCAATTTTATTATCTCACTCACCAAATTCGGCCATTTTCTTTAAGTTAAAGGCTTTAGACATCTTTGGAAAGGAAGCATGAAGTTGGTCCAATTAGATCTTGCCTGTCATAAAAAGGCGAGAGAAACGGATAAAAGCTTTGGCTAAAAACAGTCGGAAGGGTCATGATAGAAAGAAAGGCGCCAAATTAAAGAATCACTAAGAGAGAAGATAAAAGCTAGTCGGTTGGCAAGAGGCTTGAAGGTAATGCATTGGCGATTAGTGTCTTCCTTCAATTTGGGAGTAAGTTCCGGTCATTTAGCCCCGGTTTCTTTTCCAGGGAACAAGTTGCTCATTATTTTGAGAAGAATCTGATTCTCTAAACATTAGGCTTCCATATGTCATTTTCTTACTTTAGTCACAGCTGGGGCAATTATCTATCTATATGTCTATGTGTGCATGCCATTTTATTCACATCTATATAGCTATATATTTAGCTCATTTCTTTCATATCTATCTATCTATCTATCTATCTATCTATCTATCTATCTATCTATCTATCTCATTACTTCATGTATATTTATCTATCAATATATCGGATTTTGCTCATGATCTATGTATATCTTTTTATTCACATCTATCTATCTATCTATCTATCTATCTATCTATCTATCTCATTTTGTTCAATATCTATCTATCTATCTCAGTTTGTTCAATATCTATCTATCTATCTATCTATCTATCTATCTATCTATCTATCTATCTATCTCTGTTCATATCTATCTATCTATCTATCTATCTATCTATCTATCTATCTATCTATCTATCTCTGTTCATTATCTATCTATCTATCTATCTATCTATCTATCTATCTATCTATCTATCTATCTATCTATCGAGAAGTACTGAAGTAAGGTATATGAAAATAGAGGGAGAGATTTCATATTTTGAGATAACTATAAAAATTTAAAAATGTGATATATTTTAAGAGACTAACGAAGATTGTTATATAGATATTGGTATATAAATCGAGACTTGTGATGTAGACAAAGAAAAATGAGTCATTAAAAGACAACCCACACGCACACGTATACATACATATATTAATAAATATACATATTTTTCTTACCGGTTGCACGTCTAATTGTTTCATGCACAACGCAATGTTAACTTCAGCATGATACCCCGAATCGTGCCACCCGTGAGAAAAAAAAATATGTATATTTATTAATATATAGTGTTTTGTGTTCACCACTGCTGTAGTCTGGTAGCCACTGGACTATGTTTTCCTTTAGGAAGCATTGCTCAGTGGATAAAGACGTTGATTGTATTCAATGAATTGTGAGTTCAATACCAGATCCATTATAAAACAATCAAGATTGCAAAATCTGCTCGGTGGGTGAGGTAGTTGCGCTAGTACTTAATGATAGAATCCAAATAATAAAGAAAATTGCGAATGCCAATATATTCAATAAAGGTGGTACCAGATCAATCCAAAGTCCTTTAGCCTCGATCTGATATGAGAACATAAGATCTATCAGGGTGGCCCTGTTAGCACCATAACACCAGAAACAACGTTCCGTGACATTGCTAATTAGATCCCGAGGCATTGGTAACGTGTGGTATGGTTAAATGAGATATACTTTCTAGTTGTTTCTGGCTGATAGTAAGATTCAGGTGTGGCGCAGATTAGCCCAATAATCATGGGACGAGTTTATCAACAGCGCTCTCGGTACGCTAAAAGGGATTCTATAATATTGTAATGTACTTATACGTAGTATCAGTTATTTCGCTAGTTTGGCTAAATAATATATTGACCAGTTATCTCGAAGTTTCACTGCTCTGTGACCAATTTATCCTTTTGATCGAATCCGTGTACACCAACAACGAGGAGTTAATCCGGCAGAAAAAGGCACTGAATTATCGTTGCCCTGAATTGTTTTGAAGAATATTCTTGGGATTTATGACGAATGTTGTATTCGTTAGTTTCGCCTGAAATGAGCCCAAACAGCCATTGATGGGAAGTAGGGGAGAGCTCTATTCGAGGGATGATCATACACCTAAATATATAAGTGTGTTATGGACAGATATGGAAATGGTATGGTTCAAAATCATTTCAGAGAAATTTTCAGCTGTTGTGGTGTCCTCCCTCTAAAGAGTCTATATTGGACACTTCCGCCTACTATAAGATTAGTAGGAGAGAAGGCGTTGGGAGAACAGTCGACCAGACTGTTAATTTCTGTCGAACTCTCTGCCTCGGCAAAGAGGAACTGGGATGAAGCATTGCCGCAGGGCAAAGTTTCGTCCCGGGAGGTAGACGGTTCCTGAACGCATTTAGGCGGGTTCAAAGGGAATTTTTGGCCGAGCCTACGGACTCGGAGTACCGACAATAAACAGGCCTTGTGCCACATACACCCTCATATGTGTGGTGGGGATGTTAAATATTAACAGTCAACTGGATTGTTTAAACTGTCGAACTCTCTGCTTCGAGCAGAGAGGAAACCGTACAAGGCTTTGCTGAAGGGCAAAGTTTCGTCCGGGGATGTAGGCAGGCCCTGAACCAGTTTATGCGGGTTTTAAAGGAATATTTTTGGAAAGGCTAAGAAAATCCACGGTAAATTCGGCCTTGTGCCACATATATTCTTGTGGGGGGGCTGTTAAATATAACAGTCGACCAGAAGGTTCATCTGTTGAACTCTCTGCTTTGAGAATGGAGGAAGTCGAACGAGGCTTTGCTAGGAACTACATTCAACTATCTATCTATCTATCTATCTATCTATCTTGATGTTAAATTTCATGAAAATATTGCCACAGAATTCGATATAACTTCTAATGGAGGTTGTCACATTTGCCTATGTAGGCCAAGCTCAAAAACACAGAGTGAAATTAATTACGTAACAACTACTGCAAATGGAGCCAAACATTGCCACATATGTGACTGTATGACCCTTGCAAGATTAAAAGCCACATCCACGTTGCCTATGTTTAAGGATGGATTAAGCGATGACATTGCTAGAAATAGTCAGAACTATAATCTTTATCACACTGTACATGATGTATATATATATATATATATATATATATATATATATATATATACATTATCTATAAATATATATATATATATATATATAGATATATATATATACAGATATATATTATTAAATCTTTATTATAAGAAGTTATAAAAATATTTTAAATTGTACATATATATATATATATATATATATGTTAAATTTTTATTAGAAGAGGTTATAATAAAAACATTTTTAATATATATTCTCTATATATAGTATTTTTAAAAGGGGTTATAATAAAACATTTTTAAATCTGTATTTATATATATATATATATATATATATATATATATTATATTTTGTTAAAAGAGGTTATAATAAAACATTTTTATATCTGTACATTATATATATATATATATATATATATATATATATATATATAAGCATATTATATTTTTGTTATGAGAAGTTATAATAAAAACATGTTGAAATCGCTACACAAAAGCGTTCAGGTTTCAATATTTTGAATGTACTTCTTCAAGCGATATTAAGTAACTGGTGATTAAATGATTTCTTAGGGAACAAATCGTGACCTCTTCTCCTAAAGTTAAAATAGTGTGGGCGCATAAGGTCAAACATCAAAAATAGACTTGTGGGTATGTCTGGATTAACCAATAGAATGTCAAATCAACGCTAAATAGAAAAATAAGGTCAGGGTGTGGAGGTGGGTGAGTTATTTTTTTTTTCATGTCGTGATAAACCGATATATAGATATGGCAGCATTGACGATTATGGTGAATATGACAGACACAACCACATAAAAAATATAATAATAGTTTCGTCTACTTTGTATTGAGCACTATTTACAAAAGAAAATGCTTCGACCTGTGGATTTTAATCCATTTGTTTTTTCTTCATTATATATATATATATATATATAATATATATATATATATATATATATATATATATATATATATATATATATATATATATATATATAACAACATGCCTGACCGCGTACTCAATTCCGGGAAATCCTTGTTGACAACACAACTATACTTAAACATGAAAACAATAAACAAAAAATTCTTGAAGCTCTATACATAAAACAGTTGAAACCTAAGCTGAACAAAAGAAACTATGAAATCTCCACAAATATTCTTAAATGCCTATAATTGATAACAGAAGCCATTGGTTTATACCAACGGCTTTCCATACTTAATACTTCTCGTTTTCACTCTCGCGTGGTCATGTGTGACGTCACGAGCTGCGACGCGATTTTCGCCTCCGCGTCTTTTATATACGCGTTTGTCGTTACTTTGAAATTTCTCATGCAGCAACTATCATTGTTCTTTCGTCCGTGTGTTGTTTGATATATTGAAATTGTCATCTTTGATAATGGCTTATGTAAGCCGACAGCTTACATTGGATTGAAATGGGATTTCCTTTCGTCTTTCAATGATTGTGTGATTAAGCTTATCAGACAGTATGAAAGGAACTTAAAACAAAACTTGCACTAAAGCCTACATTAAAAACAGGGAGAAAGTGGAAGGTCAGAGAGACGATAACAAGTGCTAAAGACAATCTAGCTTTCAATGAAGTCATCGGATGCACTCAAGCAGGGAAACAAGGGTTAGGACTAAATGAAAGGCAATGGTGGTCGAAATCTTCTGGTAAAGATCGCCGTGACATGTTCATCCAAAATGTGATGAAAGAAAAAGATAAAAAAAGACTCGTAAAAGGAGTGCAACAATTCCAACAAGGCCAATGGACAAACTGGGAAGAGGCTCTTCAGAAATCTTTTACGTGGAAGGACATTTGGCAGATGGCTCCACTTAGGTTGAGTTATTTAATACGTTCCACGTATGACCTGCTACCATCTAAGAACAATCTTGTTAAATGGAAGGAAGAGAGTGATCCTACTTGTCCCCTGTTTAAGGAAAAGCCACAAACATTAGAACATGTTCTTAGTTCCTGTAAAACAGCCCTTGTCAATGGCAGATCTACATGGAGACACAATAGTGTTTTGGATAAGCTGTTCAAAATCATAAAGAAATATATGAAGTCTGAGTCATCTAATTCAGCCCAGAAATTTGTTGCAGAAGGAAAAAGATATGTCGGTTCTAAGCAAACAAACAAATGTCATGCTATTCCCGGAAAAATCTCATTTGTTCTGGTGGCATCTGGGAGGTATCTGCCGACCTTCCTGGTTGGCGTAATGATTACCCCAAAATAATATCAAGTAAAGGTCTGCGACCAGATATTGTTCTTCTGTCAATGGTGAACTATAAAATCATCCTCGTTGAATTAACAGTACCATATGAATGCCGGATGGAACAAAGCCACGATTATAAAACTAATGAATATGAAAATCTAAAATCAGAGCCAATAAAGGAGGGGTATAATGCAATTGTTAGAGCAATGGAAATTGGAGCAAGGGGTTTCGTTTCAGGCACTCTGTACCAATTTTTGGGCCAAATTGGAATCAAAGGGCGTAATAGGGCCAAAAAGTATAAAACGCCTAATAGAAATAACTGAGAATAGTTCTATGTGGATATGGAAAAAACGAAATACTCCGTGGAGTGTTTCAGCGAACATGACGGCATGACATGACTGGTCGTGAATGCGTAATGAGGTTCACGTTGCATTCTCAGGACGCGAAATTTGCCGTTTTTCGGAATTTTCGTAAATTTAATTTCGCCGTTACACATTTGAACTAGGTTATCTAAAACACACTTGTATATCGTTATAATGGGGCCTCACATCAGTGGGGGGGCGGTGTGCAACTGAAACCGTTGAGAGGAAGGCCTCGAAACGGTGCACATTCTCTCCTGATGACCCCAGTTTAAATATAAATTCGAGGGGAACACAAAATTCATCGAAGACATATGCCGTAGAGAAGCTCGATGGAAGTGTCATTGGCATGAGGAGCATTACACATCCAGCTCGCTTCAGGTGAGTTTCAATTACTTTCCAGTAATTTCCTTCTTCTTTAATGAAACATGCATTAATATATATATATATATATATATATATATATATATATATAGTCAAACATATATTGTTAAATATAACAGAAAAAAATGTCTGTTATGTGTGATCATGAGCCGTTGTAAGCTTTGTATAATTGTTTTAATTTCGGGAGAAAATAAATACAAAAGCTGTCTAACATTTGGAAATTTTTTACTACGTCGTTCCTTGATTTAAGCTTTCATAATCCTTCATAAGCCATCTTCAGAGTGGTTATATGGACATTTAAACAAAGATAGTCATCATCCGAGATGATATTCCCGTATGTTGATATAGAAGATTGATATACGACGATAACGGTCGCGGAATAGCAGACGCAGGTCGTAAATTCATGAGGTGGTTCTATGACGTCGTACCAGGTGAAAGCCCGAAATATTTACAACAGAACCATATATCTAGATGCAACAGACAGATATCTGGATAGATATATAGATATATAGGTAAGGAAAAGAATAAAAGGAGAAAAAGAGAATTGTAGAGGAAGACAGAATCGACCCCTCTTTGTTATTTGAACAACAAATACGACTAACTTTACATTTTCAGCTGACAATTATTACATTTTCATTAAAAAGTCAATTTTTTATGCCTTTGCTCAATATGGCTTTTGATCTGTACATAAGTAGGATAAAGTTGCTAGTTTCGATTATCTTGAAGCAATCAGCGATTTTTTTCATTGTCCATGGCACATAAATCCTCACTTATTTCTAGACGAGAGCATCTACTGTGTTAATCATATGGCTTTTTTTAAAAGAGTTTTATCCTTTCATGTATCTAAACAGCAAGATAAAACGCCCTGCACGTTGGCTCACAGCCAAGTTTTAATTGAACCATAAACAACTAATCATGTATGAATGCTTACCATTCATTGATGACCGTCCTGGGTAAGACGATAAACTACATCCGCGTCCTGGGTAAGACGATAAACTACATCCGCGTCCTGGCTATGACGGTAAACTACATCCGCGTCCTGGGTAAGACGATAAACTACATCCGCGTCCTAGGTATGATGGTAAACTACATCCGCGTCTTGGGTAAGATTATAAACTATATCCGCGTCCTGGGTAAGGAGGTTTTGAGGAGTGTGGGACCACCTCTTAATTGCTGGTGTTCTCAGGTCCACCCTGAACCGGTGTGGTAGCATGGGAAAATAGTTAACCTCGAAACTTAGGTAAAAAGAATGATAAAAGTGTAAAAATAGGTTTTAATACCAGAAATACTTTGTAAAAAATTATTGCCAGAAATAAATTTTTGAAGAAAAAAAAAACCATTACCAGCAATATATTTTTGGAAAATAAATATTACCAGCAATATATTTTTGAAAAGAAATATTGCCAGCAATATACTGTTGAAAATAAATATTACCAGCAATATATTTTTTAAAATAAATATTTCCAGCAATATATTTAAAGAAATATTACCAGCAATGCGTTTTTGAAAAAAAAAAAAAAAATTACCAGCAATACATATTTTGAAATAATATTACCAGCTATACCTTTTTGGGGAAAAAATATTACGACAAATAGATTTTTGACAAAACAATATTACCAGGAAAAAATGTCGGCATTAAATAACCCATTGAGGTTGATATGCTATAAAACAAAGCAAATCAAACCAAACCATTCACTGATGACTGACATAATACCATGTCGGATTTATGTCTTAGGCAATTAGTGAAAAACAACCATTAAACACTTATATTTGAAATTCTATCGGAAAGAATATTTCTGTTTAGAAA